AATGTGGTATGATATTTTTAATTAACAGATGTTTATTTCACAGTTAGTGAGAATAAGTATAAGGCTGATTTTCTTAAAGGTTTATTTACAGAATGTACAAAGATGCTTCTTAATTGTTACAGCGGTAACCATCGACTGCTGCTACCTGCTACATCCGCACCCTTGCAGATGCCCCTTTTTCCCCCCTGGTGTCTGTTTCTTCGTCGTTTTCCTTAAAAATTACTAACATGCCAACGTCCTCTCTTCACAAACAACCCAAAAACCATACCGTCCCTTTTTCTACCAACAACTTAGACAAACACTTACAACTAAAATAAGAATAATAATACTACTAACTACGCTTTCTTAATTCTATTTTACCATTAACTTATACTACATTCGGCCATCCTGCGCAAACATCTCCCCTCAGATGTATTCGGTCTCGTCGGCCTTGTCAAATTCGGTTTCATCTCCTGCAGCCTAAGGCTTCATATAGTCCACGGATGTTGATGTTCGATTTGGGCCTTCATGTTCGCCAACTTTCTCTACAACGTACCGGTCGTTTCTCAATACCCTGCTTATTTTGTATGGTCCTAAATATTTCGCCTTTAGCTTTGAACCACTTCCTAGTTGGGTTCTCTTGATGGCCACCCACTCGCCCTCGCTATATCGATTTGGCATCTTTCGTTTTTTGTCATAGCCACGCTTGTTAGAGTCCTGAATTTTTGCTATGGTATTTTTCGCTTCCGCTCTTAATTCATCCCTATCCTCCTCAAATATGGCTGTCCATTCCTATTCTATTAGTTCCTTAATGTTGTTGTCATCCTTAAGCCGGGCGTTAACCCCGAATAACAGGTAAAAAGGTGCTTTACCTGTACCTCGGTTTAGGGTAGCATTTAAATATCTCTGTGCCGCCTCGATGTATTTGTACCAATTCTCGGGGATCGGAGAGGTTAATTTGGCAAGAAGAGGAAGTAGAGTCCGATTTACTCTCTCTACCTGCCCGTTACCCCTTGGAACACCCGTCACAATCATCGTGTGTTCGATCTTTTCTGTCTTACAATAGTCCTTAAAAGCCTGTGAAGTGAATGCAGTTCCCCGATCTGACACTATTCGTCGAGGGTTTCCAAAAACGAAGGATTGCTTCGTTAAACGGTCAATAACTTCAGCGGCATCAGTAGACTTTGTTGGGTACAACCAAACAAACTTAGTAAAAGCGTCGACCACCACTAGCACATGTTGGTATCTTTTCTTCGTCGCCGTCATAGGTCCTGTGAGAGATCCATAAAAACACCTAGGCAATAACTGACAGACACTTTCAGAGACGCTGAAAGACTCTGAGAGACTGGAGAGAAACTAAACATTTTTATCTAGGGAAAGGAAAACGCTGCACTACAATTGAGGAGACAAAGACGACGTCGAAGGAGCAGCTAAACAGCATCAATGATTTCTTTTTTGAAGTTGTTTGTATCCAAGTTAGCTAGGGTAGTTTTAATTTGTTATTTTCAACACATAGTTTGCAGATGTCAATTCTTGCACTTCCAAATTTACTTTTCTTGGAATATTACAACTATAAGTTATGGTTATTACCCTAAATGTTTGTGCCNGTACAAAGTGTTCTCACCGGGCCGAGAAGATGGGAACAACTAAGAGCGTGTTAGACGCCCGAGCACGTCAACAACAGACGAAAACTTTGATAAAGTGAAGAAAATATTATTGGCCAATCGCGAAATCACCGTTAGAGAAGTTGCTGAAGACCTAAACATATCGATTGGCTCCTGCCGATCGATTTTTACCAATTATTTGGGCATGAGATAGGTCGCCGCGAAATTCGTACCAAAATTGCTCAATTTCGATCAAAAACAGCATCGCATTAACATTACTAAGGAGCTGTTGGACAACCCAAATTTGATCCAGGGGGTCATAACTGGTCACGAATCATGGGTTTATGGTTATGCCGTGGAAACCAAAGCTCAATCCCAATGAAAGCTGCCGCACGAGCCAAGACCGAAAAAAGCGCGCCAAGTTAAGTCGAATGTGAAGGTTTCGCTTACAGTTTCCTTCGATTACAGGGACATGGTGCATCATGAATTCCTACCACAGGGTAGAACGGTCACTAAGAAATATCCGCCAAAAGCGCCCCGATTTGTGGAAGAACAAAAAGTGGCTTTTGCACCATGATAACGCCCCTGCTCACACATCGTTGCATGTGCGCGAATTTTCGGCCAAAAACAACACACTAAAAATACCGCAGCCACCGTATACCCCAGATCTGAGCACCAGTGACTTTTTTTAGTTCCCGAAACTGAAGAGGTCCATAAATTCAAGATAAAAATGTTCAGTCTCTCAGAGTCTCTGAAAGCGAGACTGAAGTCTCCGCCTCTCATCGAGTCTCTCTGCTGTCACTGAGAAAGACTGTCGAGAGACTGTAAAAAAACTGTTTAGCGTCTCTGAACGAGAGACGCGAGTCGTTCATAGAGAGATCCTCATTTCGTATCCAGTCTCTGAACGAGAGACTCGAATCTCTGAACGAGAGACTCGAATCTCTGAACGAGAGACTCGAGTCGCTCATAGAGAGATCCTCATTTCGTATCCAGTCTCTGAACGAGAGACTCGAATCTCTGAACGAGAGACTCGAATCCCTCAATAAGTGGTGTCTTGATAGACATGATTAAAATTTTCTAAGTTCAACATATTTCAGAGATCCCAGTATTTCTACGAGAGACTCGAGTCTCTCAATTTTTCAGTTTTATCGTTCGAGTCTCTCATACAGAGACTGTGAGAGATCCATAAAAACACCTAGGCAATAACTGAGAGACTGT